CTGGTCATAATCCCACCCACTGTACACTTTCTGAGCAGACAGTATCTCAGAGTATGTTTATGAAACTTTTGTTTGAAGGAAAAAAGAGAACCTGTAATCACATTTTGGCACTTGCATCTAAATTTCAATCTATAAGCAGTTCATCAAAAAGTGGATAAGTATCTTTTAATGGAGGAGAATGCTATTCCACCTTTATACAGAAAACACATGTAGAATGAAAAAGTTTCCATTTATTAGCCAGTGAATACAACCCATTTTCCTGAGAACAATCAGGACACTAATTAATATGTAACTGAAGTACCTCATGACTAGCTACATCTTAAAAATCTACCTGAGCAACACAAACAACGTAAGCTGGGCACATTTCAAAGGACCGAGGTGAGGGTCAAGGGGAGCAAACCCCAGCATTTAACACACTTCCCTCCTGTGCATGACCCCACACACTGCTACAGCAGTTTGTGCAACTTAGGCTTCAATTGTATATGAAGTGATTAATTTTTAAGTTTTTAGTCCTTTATTCAACCATATTATTCATATGTGCACCATTTTCCTCATTCATGGAGGACATTAGCATTGTCATTGTGGCTGAAGGAATTCTTTGCTTCTTCTGCAGCTACACCACCTACTACTCACAGTACTCATCTGCACAGCCCTGTTCTTTTCATTTCCAGTCTCCACCCATTCTGACAATTGAAAAGCACAGAAACTTCAGCAAAGAGCAAAACGAGCCTGTGAACTCCATGTACACAGACAAGCCAGTGACCTGACCTTTGAATGATTAGAGATTAAAATACACAACTATTTGAAGGAAAACAGATATTTGTAAAATGTTTTACAAACTCATATTTTAGTGGCTAACCAGTTCTAATGATAGAGGAGTCCATGTGTTACTACAGATCAATATTTTAAAAATGTACATAGCAGCTTTGGAAACTGGTATTTTTCAAACATTTAACTTACAACTGATTGTTACTGAAGAAAAATACATTTACACAAACTTTGCTATTACCTTTGGACGTTACAGGCATAAAATTGGCCAAACCTTTTACGTGCAGGTAAGCTCAAATAAACATGAGGGGAAATGCAAATGAACCAAAATCACTGCTTTTAGGATGAGTCTCTAGGGAAGGTCCATGCAGATCTAAAGGGAAATAAACCCTTGCCTAGCAGTTGCATATATGGCATGCAATTGCTGAAAATTTCTGATTTTTAAAAAAGGTTCATGATTAGAACAACTTTGTCTTCTGCACTGGATATAAAGTGACACATAATTAGTACATTTTCCCATGTAATTTTTTTTCACAGAAAGCCAAACAGCATCTTAATTAGCAAAACAACTTCTAACAAAATAAATTAATAAAATGCAGCACCTTTTAAAACAAATTATGAAAGATGTTTGCAATGAATAACATAACTCATGCCTTTCCTAGGAGATAACAGATCTACATCTGGATTTTATCCTAATCAACTGACAGGAAGGATAATCAACTTCTCATTTAATTTTGGTTTTTTAACAAATTACTGTTTTACCCTTTCCTCAACTGGAAAGTTAAAAGCACATTCCCCGTAAGATGTTTATTTTGTTTGGTGAAAATGTATACAGGAGACTGCTAACATTCCCTAGTGATCCTTCAGAGACAAGTCTGGTAAGCCTGGAGGAGGAGACTAGGTAAAAATGCAGAAGGTAAAAAAGGTCTTTTACAAATTTAGTTTGATAAATCATCAGATTTAAAGCTCAGAAATTCCTGGTCACGTAAAACAGAGAAATGTGATCATATAATTCTTCTTTAAAAAATCATATAAACCAGAAATCGTATGGAACACTGAGGAGGACATGCAACAGCAGATGTTGCTATTGTACAAAAGGGCTGGTGCACGCATGATGCACATTCTGCACAGCAACATTCAAGACACATTTTCAATAGGCTTCTATTAATTCCTCTCAGTCTGCCGTGACACCTAAAGATCCATTTTTAAAGAGATAAGAATACTTTTCCTAAGTATGGGTCAGGTAAAAAACATCCTACCTACAGCACTTTCCTGAAAATTTAGAAACAGGAAGACTAGAGACCATAAATTTACAGATTTGTGACATGCTAACACTCACTATGATGGTTCAGATTATATAAAATTCTTTCCACCTTGTTCAAGTTATATCAAATTAAGACTTCTACAGTGCTCCTGTGTTTGCTATTTACAGCAACTGATTTTTAGGGGGCTTTTTTAAAGCTTCTGAGAGTAGTCATACAATGACCAGCAGTAACAAAAGCAGCAGTCTATGCCAAAACGCTATTAATAATGTGAACTAAAAATGAAAACAAAGACACTAACTGTGAGAATTGCTAAAAGGTTGATTTACTTTTTTACAAGATGCTGAAAAGCATTAAAAGAAAGAAGAAAAACTTGTGACAGATAATGAGAGTTTGAGACAGAATGCAAAGCTCTCAAAATGCAACCACACCACTTCCTAAAGGCTTCTATTCAGTGTGCTGTTAAGACTCTCTCTTAGTGAAGCATATGTTAAACCAAAGAATAAAGTAACAACCCAGGAAGTTTCTTGCAATTTTCTGCACTTTGTGTTCCATAGTTGCTGAAGTGAAAACCTGTTCTTTCCTATCAAAAGATGAGATTCCTCTAACCCACATACTTCAATAGGGAAAGGTGCAGTTATGGCACGCTGGTGAGAAAATACTGTCCTTGACATCTTAAGAAAACACAAGTACAACTATTGATGCTATTTAATGCTATTTATTTGGGTATTGCTGATGCACATGGTTACAAAATTTACTTTAAACTACATCCATCCCTGCTTTTTCCTCCTCATTAAAGTTAGGTTCATTCTATGAACAGTTCCTAGGAATTTCAATAAATTAATTTGGTGACAGAATCCAATGAAACCAACCTATCTTTGAGAAAAAACATCTCACTTCCTTTCCTGCATGCATAGGATATTCTCTCAAATTCACACTGTTGTACACCTTGTTGCTTCTAATATCATTAAATTACTTTGTTGGCTTCTTTTTAAACACAGACATATGCTTAGACTTCTATTTATTATCATGGAAGCTCTAAACACTCTTAAAATAACATTTGAAATAGGATAATGAATACATTGAGTGACACCAGCATATAGTGTTTCTGGAAACATTTGTCTGAGGTTTAGCAGAAAGACAAATTAGAATCATAGAATCAACTGGGTTGGAAAAGACCTCAAAGATCACCGAGTCCAACCCTAAAATTCAATCTCATAGTCCATCACCTGCTAATGACATTTCCTTTAGTTCTTGGAAACACTAAATATATACACAAACAAATATTGCTACAATAAAGTCCCACAGGTGAGAGACCTCAGTAATACTATCATTCTAAAATCATCTGAGTATCTTAATATCTCAATAACTTGCTGTGTCAGGCAAACAGCTTAAGACTATTAGCCTAATTCTATAAATTTACTTGAAGTCTACAATTTTTTTCATCTACCGCTTACAATGAAACACACTACACACAAGGTTCCACGCTGACTCACTCAATGAATGTCTATGCCAGCATATAAATGATTCTCTTTTCTTCCTTACCTCCAGATGCTCTAAAATATAAGGAGGGTTTGTCATGCCAAGCCTCAGCATAGCTCCCTCAGGAATAACTTCAACCAGCTTCCACAGAAGCGTAGGGAGGTCTGTGCCAATGTCTCTGCCATAAGCCCCTGTGTCTTCACTGGTCAGCCATATCTCACAAACACCCTCTGTGAATAAAAGAAAGAGATAATTAACAAATCTGGTTTAGAGCTGTTTATTTTATCATACAGCTGCTCGCTCTTTTTAATGCAGTATTTCACAAGGCTATTATGCAGCCAGACTGGGCATTCAATTGCAAGGGGGAGGGAAGGAGAAGGCAGGCTTATCCCATGGGTAGCAGTGGGTTATTAAGTTCATTTTATGAGCACAAGAGTGCTATAACAATGCTGTAAATTATCATTGCTGTGGAGTGATTAACATTCACAGCCAATGACTAATTCTGTGCTGCCTCTACAGCAAGTCAGTCAAGTTTAGTACTCGGTTCTATTTTTTGAGCCTAATTCATTAAACACCACAAGTGACATTAACCAAGCAGAGTTTGCATTAATGGTTATTACTAGTAGTTAGCTTATTAACTGCTAAGCTTCCAATAAGCAAAATCAGCTCTAAAGCACTGTGATTAAGGTTCCTCCTGGAGTAACTATTAAAAACTTGTACTCTTTTAAATTACACAATTAGCATTGCTATATTAAAGTCATATTGAAAAGGTTAGTGACCACTAACCTGAGAGATAGTACTGGAAAACCTGTTTCCTGGCACTTAATACTTTATTTTCCATCAATTAGGGCCTAAGGAAGTAGTATACTTGATCTGTACTGTAAATGACAACCTTGAACACTGATATTTGGTAGTAATATTCTCCTGCTCAAAGAGGGGAAAGATTGCACCACCCTTTAATAATAGTTGAAAGCAACGAGGTTTCACTCAGCCTCTTCTGTTGGTCAGGCCAGTTTCCATGCTTTTTGCAATGCAATCCCTCTCCTCTTCCTTACCACCCCAAAGCAAGGAATAAGCCATTGAAAACAGGGCATCTGTGAGGAAGACACCAGAAATGCCCAGTAAGATAAGATACCATTAACTCAGTTCAGTTTCTAAAACCAATGATGAACTCGTAAAGGAAATATCCAAACACTAGAAGGTGCATAATTCATCAAAGCACACTGTGGACCAGCAAGAATGTATCACAAAATGGAAACGTTTATGTTACAAAAATATACCTAACAGGAGGAAAACATAAACATGTACACAGATTTTAATCACAAAAAAGTAATAAACCTAGAAAACCAGAAGCTTTACAAGATGCAAACTCATGACTGCTACCATTAAACTTACTCTGTAACAATAAAATCAGAGAACAGGCTATGCTGAGCATCAAAGTTAATACTGTTTGTTCAGAATGGTTTTCAAGGTCACTTATTATTCAGAATGAATCACAGAATCATATAATTTTATGAAGATAATGAAGAATACTTAAATGCTAACTGAAAAACTCATAATCTCTTAAGTTTTGCTTCAAGAATAAGTTAGTGAGAGAGATGTATAATTCTGATCTTGTAAGAAGTCTGGCGTAAAGAATTCCTGAAGTACTGCTGCTCTTTGACTATCCAGCTTGCAGTCACAACTTTGTAGTCACACTCAAACTGAGCTCCCCGTGCAGAATCTGCTAGCACTATACAATCACACAGTGGAATCCACTGCACTTGCTAATGTTTTTGGGATTCATCTCACCACCGGCTGTACAACACCATGAAACATATTCCAGGGTTTGCCACCTGCCCCACATTTTCCTGGAATATGGAAAAAGAAGTGACTTGTATATGCTACATGCTAAAAAGGAGAGAAATGTAAAGCATCTAAATGATTGCTAAGGCACTGTTTGATTTGCTTTGGGTTTTTTTTATACGAGCCTCCCATAGCCATTAGAACACTGAGAAACTGTTAATTACTTGCCCAGTTTCTGCTGAAACTGAGTAATTCTAATTTGCAAGGTTTCAATCTAAAGAGTTGCATGGGTTTGGGGTTGGATTTCCTTTTTTTTCATGAAAATGGCTAATGGCATACTACCTCACAGATACCAGACAAATACTGAGGAAAAAAATAAAAATCACCGGCTAGGAATGGAAATAACATTCCTATGGAAAAGAACAGTGAGCTTTTAAAGCTGCATAGGTGGGGACCATTAGCCCCCTGGTGGGCTGGAACTTCAAATTAAATCACAAGAAGAGGAAGCAGCTGTAATAGTAAATCAGCAACAACAGGAATAACTGTCTCATCTGCTCTCCGAACAGGGTGTTGAACAACAAGCAATAGGAATAATTCATGCTGAGAGAGCCAAGGATGTAGTCTTAATGTGGGAGGTGAGGAGAGAGAAGGACACCTGTATTTTAGAACAAAGCTCATGTCCCACTTTCAGCCTGACAAAATGGATCTTCAAATACTGAAAGCTAGTGTAAGTGATCAGTATTTACAAGTAGGGTAATTCAGCTTTGTATGTATCTCTGTGCGATAGAGGCTGTGTCAGCTGCTTTTAGGCTGTTTATTCTAGTCTTCGGCATTCTCAGTTTAGGAGTCTAAACTTCCACCAGGTAAGAGGAGAAAACAACAGACTCTCAAATAGTATTAATGAAGTCAACCAACACTTCCTAGTTGAACTTCACCTTGTTCTCCTCCAAACTCCTTCTGTAGGAACCTATTTAAATCCACTGTCTAATCCCATATACAATTTTCTTTCTTTCTTTTGCCGTGAACCTCACTTGATCATTCACCATTCTGTTAGTGGGCAATCTTGGCGTTAATAAAGGCAAGCTGATTTTGTAAACAAGAAAATTGATCCAAATGGCAGAGTTCAGATGTGCAAACTCAGAGCATTTGTTACAGTATTCAGGCCAATTATCATTATATCCAAGTAATTACAAGTCTCCCTTTGGTCACAGCTCATAGTTTATTTCTCCCTGTGCCATCCCTACCCAGCACAAGAGAGAACCTCAAGAGCTGCCTTCTGATCTCTGCTCTGCCATAATCAGAGATGATCAAGAATGAAAAATGCTGGAAAAAGGATATGTTCCAAGCAAATGGAGGACGTTCTGAGCCTAATCCTTTTCCAAAATCTCAATATAAAGAACACTCATTGCAGATTATCTGACATGGGTTTTAACTTTATTTTTGTGGGGTAAACAATCCTTGTCATAAAGAAGATAAGAAATCCTACAGTTACCACTTTTACAAGGTATGTGCATTTCTGTTTCAGAGACCACTTGAAATAATTAATGTATTTAATAAAAATTTCTTGCATTTTTATTCCCCTTTATCTTCACTACTGTAAATGGTGCTCTCAGCAGTACCAAATATCCTTTAAACTGGAGGGAAATCTATTCCATCTGAAAAATTTATTTCAATCTACAAAAACATCTGAGGATGTTAAAATTTTGGACATTAATCCCGGTTAAATTCTACTATTTGTTAATCTGCAGTACTTTTGTACAAATGAAATTTAATCCCAAAATCCCCTTATGTTTTTCTTCTCCTTCCCTTCTTGTTCTCCTCTTTCCTGACAGATTTTCTAATGTGAAAAGGAGTGGCTTTTCCAAGAGCACAATTCTCTGCAGGCTGCCTCAGCGGGAGGCCCCTCGATTCTGACCTTCTCAGTAGCCCACATATGCTTATCAATAACTGCCTGACCTCCTTGCGATTCCTTCCCCAGCAGTGAATTCTAATGGCAGCCTGCAGAGCCGTACAGACCACAGAAGTACCTCTCCCACTGCACCACAGAAATCTGAAAGACCATCTGCCAAGGGGAGGCCTGACTTAAATGTTTGTCAAAAACTGGTTGTAGACTTGAGGGCAAGCAATCTGACCATCCCTAATCAAGAAAACCCAAACCAAACCTCCCTCCCCCTCAAAAAAAAACAAACAAAAAAACCCCCAAAAAACCCCCACACCCCAACAAACATAGTCAAAGACTGAGAGAAGGGCTTGAAAAAAATCAAACTGTTTTGAAACATGCTCATTGTTCAGAATGAGCTTAGCCTACATTAATTTATTTTCTCTTCAATTATTTGAGCTTCCCCTTCTTTATTCAGCATGTATTTTACAGGCACTATTTATGTACTTGATGCAGTGCATGTACTAGATTACTTTGCTGACTCAGTGTCTTAACTGGGAAATCATGAAGACGTGTGTACATAGCGTATCACTGTATCAACCTGAATATAATGTGAGTTTAAAGAGAAACAGATTTGGAGGAATCAAATTCCTCCTACAATTCTGAAATACTCTGCAAGGACTGATTGACCATGTAAGAGCCCAGGCCTCCTCTTTGACAGCTAGTTCAAACACATGGATCAGCACTGAAGCATCCCACTGCAGGGACTTTCTGAAAGAGAAAATCAAACTGGGAGCAACTCATTGATGCTAATGAAGGTTTGGAAGGACTAGTTTGCAGTTCACCAAGAAATCCCTATTTGATCTGTATATATACAGAGCTTCTAGAGGAGAGAGATAATGCAGTTACACACAATCCTGCAGAAACTCACCCTAGTTACTCAGACAGTAACTCACACCCACTGTCACAATTATAAACTGCAAGATACCTGGCAAGCAGATGACACAAGAAGTAGACTGAAGAAAAAAAAAAGACAGATCTAGGTACAGAGCTGGTGAAATAGACAGGCTGTCAGGCTGTGATCTAAAGGATCAATGTTTTTGCTGTGCTTTGGTTTTTTTCAGCAATACATCATTCAGACAAATGCAGCTCTGCTGATAACACTATGAACAAACTGGTCCCATCACAGTCTCATTTTTGCTTTGAGAGACAATGCTCTAACATTCATAGCCTGAATTTCTAGAGGATCTTTATTATACCAAAAAATATTTCCTCTTAACAAAAGGTCTATCTTTTCATTCTTATGGAGAGTCTTAAGGAAGTGAAAGTCCACTCCTGTTTTCTTAATGCTTGCCACAAACAGAACAAGATCTGAATGACATCATGAATGTGGGCTGACCTATGGAAATGCAATGCTCGAAGAAAACATTAGATCCCCAAAACTCCTATTAAAAGAAAAAAGTCTAACAAAAGGAAGACTGGCTTAACCAACCCTTCACACCACAGGGGGAAGCAATAGCTGGTTGAGTGGCCAGGAAAGGCTGTTCAGCATTCATGCACTTCAAA